TAAACGCGCAAATTCCAGTCTGCGCACATCCCGTGTGTGCGAGAGTGTGTGTGTTGGTGGGGAGTGTTGAAAAGGAGAAGGGGGGTGTCTGCAGCCACTTGAGGTCAGTTCGATCACGATCGCGTCGGCAGAGGCAGAGGCAGCGACTGCGACTGAGGCAGCGGCAGTGGCGGAGCAGCGGCCCCAAGATCACGACGAGCCTCCTTCGAAGTTTTCGGTCTCTGCCTCTTCCTCTTCGCACTGTCAAGTGGCGCGTGTGTGTGAGTGACTGGCTACACCTGAAGAAAATGCTACCAGCAACATAAGACTCACATGTTGATCTCATATTGCAAAACAGTTCCCAGTTTCGATGGGAAGTTTTGCTGATACTTTCAATTAAAATTTTGGAATTGAAAGAATTTTAATCATGGTTCTTAACAGTATCATACAATTTTTTCTCTGTGATCCTAATTAATTTCTTGCCTAGGTCAGCCCACTTTTTCACCCGAGGACCGTGGACTGAACACTGATTACATGTCCGGCACTTTTTAATTGATGATCCAAACGCAATGTCTGAGTTTATAGCCTTGTTTGGTATTTTTCGCTTTTCTTCATTGGCCATTTTTTTTTTGCAAACTTCTTTCTGCCTGTCTTTATGATTATTGCTTTGACTTGTTATTCGTGCTTTTTTCATTGCCCCACAATGAAAGCAGGTTTTCAAGTGCTCCTTCAATTTCGAAATTCCCCGAAATTCGTATAATTTCTTGGAAATCTTTCTACGAGATGACTTGAGAGACCTTTCCTGACACATAGAGATACCTCATACAGTTATTCAGTAGAATGCGTTAGAAATAAATTAATCGAATTCTAATGTATTCTTTAATGTATCTTTAAAAAAACGATTTTAAGTTCTTTTTCGGGAAAGGTCCTAACATTTTGTAATTATTTATCTTTTAATAGTATTTCATTGTTACAATCCTTATTACTAAATGTTTCTTTTAAAATTATTTTAAGTTACAAACATTTTCACAGTGTTCTTTATTTTTCTATTTCAAATGCGAATGACACATTTATTTCGCTACATGATTTCGTTTTATTGGGCATAAGTACATACATTTGTACGTATGTACGTACATATGTATATTTCATACAGTTCTGTGTTGGCCGCTCCAACTCGTGTTTTTGGTGCGTCTATTTTCAACCTCCATCCCCACGCCACTTGGCTCCCCTTCAGATCCCCCCTCGCCGCTACGCGTCACCGTCACACGAAGTCGGGCCCCCATTGGCGTCTATGTGTGGGGCTCCGAGTTACATATAGCCACAAATATATACATATGTATATTATGCATATGTATGTGGTTGTAGCCGCAGGCACACGTATCACAATTTCAATAGACGCTAATAGAAGGCGATTTTTCAGATCTGCTGTTGCCAACGTCAAGTGGGCTGTGCTCGATCAGAAATCAAAAATAAATAATATTTTCCACTTGCAAGCGCCGCAAATAAACAACAAATGATAGATGGGATGAACTGCTGCGTGTGCCGATGATCGAAAGAAAGTTACATTTTGATTGACGGCTGCACAACAACAGCGAATGCGAATCAATTGAAATTGAACTCAAATTGCAGATGTCGTGACGGAAACGGAAATAAGCAACTAACGGTTTTCGCTTTGAAGGCCAAAATGCAGCCCTGTGTTAAGATCCTCTCATTTTTTCAAAAAGAGTACAAACAAGTGGGTCGCAGAAATCTAAAAAAGATTGCAAAAATCCGTTGATACTACATTTGAGTATTATGCTTAGCTATTATTTCATCAAAACAGACAAAGCAAAATATATATAGTTTTTGAAGTTCCATAATGATAAGGAAGGGTAAACCAAGTAGACTTTGCATCTCAAGCTATACTGAACCCAACAGAATTCATTCACAATATACATACATATGTTTGTAGATTGGTACGCACGGAACTGCTCTCAACTGGATTCTGACGTCACAATTGAACCACAATATTTTGCAAAGTCCAATTTCGCAAACGCATCCAGACTACTCTCGTACAGATAGATGTACTAGCCCCGAGCAATCGACAGTCCAGAGTCGTGTGCATTTCTATACGTAATCATCTGATCGGGGATTCGATTGAACCGACAAATCTCCCAATTAATGGGGAAAACTGCGCACCAAATGAGTTCAATTGTCGGGTTAGCTGATTTGGAAGATGGGCGTGTGGCCATTGAAGCCTGACATTTGCATTAATCTTAATTGATTAATAACGATTCAAGATCAAAGCCATTAGAAGAAATATCCGTAACAACATGAGTGCAACAAATGCAAATTTGAGCACAATACATAGGAGTTGAAGGTTAAACATAAAATAATAAATAAATTCTATAAAATACAAAGCAATTGTTTTTCCATAGGCGGAAAACAAAACAATTTATTCTTTTTTCGAGGGATCTTTTATAGTCAAGTTGCTTGACTACAAGAATCATATCTTTTGCTATGGAATCTCTGTGGCCAAACTGTTAATATCAATTAAAAACTAAACTAAATGAGTCTACACTTTAGAAGTTTCAATGGTTGGCAGTTTTGTTAACCTTTTCCTTGTCGTCACTATCGTTCTCATTATCATCGGTCTCCTGATCCTTATCCGTGTCGGATTTGTTATCGTTATTATGCTGCTTTTGCTCCAGAGCCTTTTGGGTCGCGCGATCTTGCTGTGATTTTTCCCAGGCCAGCTCAAAGGGATACTCCAAAGGTTTCAGTTCATCAGGGCACTCCTCCTGGTTCGGAGGCAGTGGCTTGGCTAATGGAAGCGCCACGCGTGTGGATCTGCTCCAGCTGAGCGGCAGTGTGGACCTCTGAATTGAGACCAGTAATAAACTCAAACAGCTGCTCCTTGGTGTAAATGTTGGGCAGGCCGCGTCGTTCAAAGAAGCTAACAATGTTGCCGCAATCTCTCATCAAGAACTCCAGGGCACTGGGATGCTTCGGTTCGACACTCTGGGCCACATCAATAAACCAGCACTTACCCTCGAACCAGAGTATGTTATATTCGCTCATATCGGCGTGCACCAGCTTAGCCTCATTGTACAACTTGTGCATCGCGGCCACAATCTCTTCGTAGGCGCAGCTCAGCTCTGCGTCACTCAGGCGGGCATCCTTTAACTTGGGCGCAGCGTTGTGATTGTCACCGATGAACCGCATTACCAGCACGTGCTTCTTCAGCACAACGACATCTGGAACGTTTAGACCGATGGCTTGCATCCTCATCAGATTATGCATCTCCTTCTCCGCCCACATGTTGATGATCACCCGGGTGGTTTTGCTTGCTAAAGCGGTCCTTGAACCGGTAGTCATCCTTGATGTATCTATCGCGCTGCTTGAACTCGTTGAGTGTGGTTTTAAAGATTTTAATGGCACACTCCCGGGGCAAAAGCTGCGGCGGAACTAGCACACCACTCTGGTGACCATGCTCGTTGCTGCCTGTATAATTCGCATCGGAGTTAGCGTGTAAGATGACCGCCTCTTTGCCTGTGGATATGATGCCGTTAATCTGCTCCAGTACTTGGTTATTGATCAGCTTGTACAGCAGCATACGAGTGCCCGCATCCAATCCCATTTCTGCGGTGGCCACTTTTTCATGTTTGTCGGAGCGACCTCGTCGAGAATGGGCTCTTAGTTGGTTGAACACCTGAAAGGTAGGTTTAAGTCTTGGTATCTCTTAACACTGGTCACTTCTAACCTTGTTGGAGAGTTTCATGTCAAAACCGGCAGCATCGCCGGTAGGAAACTCCGGTGGAAAAGACATCACCCGCTGAGCATTACGCACGGCGCAGAGTTGCGGATCGTGCTTTGTTATCATCTCGCCCTCCTTGTTAACTTTAAAGCCGCATCTTGGTATAGAGTCAAGCTGTCGTTCGTTGTCCTCGAACCGATCCCAGTCGTGCTTCAGTTGCTCCAATTCGTCCTCCTCGTAGTCATCTTCGGCAGTGTCGTGCAAGAACTCGGCATCGCCATCGCGTAGGAACTTATTGAGGGTAACAGTGACCTTGGACTGCTTGTTTTGCTGCCGCTCGATGCGACGCAATTCTTCATTGTACTCGTGATCGAACTGGGACTGCAATAGCTGGGCTATAACTGCATCGCTATCTTCAGGCAGCTGAATGTCTCCGAAGGTTTCCATCGACGTTTAAGAAGCGCAGAGTAATCCTCCCATTCCTCCGCATTACTTTGGTTTCTAAGCGAACTAGGAGCTGGCGAGGAAGATGCCTCCGTCCCCCAAACAGGTGATATATGCTCATTTGGTTTTTTCAGCTTCTCCGTATGGCGCTGCAGCTCCTTGTCGTGCAACTTGTGGGCATATTGCTCCGACATTATATCCGCCAGATTTACCTGCTGCACTGGATCGCTGCTCTTAACCCATGGTGACGACATTCTGCACAATTGAAGGACAGTCAATATACATGGAAATTTGGTGCTGTGATTCGACAAACCTATTGGAACTTGGCTTGACGAGATGGAGTTCTATGTCGGTGGTAATTGTGGCAGTTGACAAACAAGCCCCTATCCAAATCCTGACCAGCGGCGGATTGCAGGTGGACTTCGATGTGTCCGCGGTTGATGACAAGTGAGATTTGTGGCACTATAGATTCCCAATATAACGGGGAGCCAATTGCACCCTTGTTGCAATAATATTTATATTGTATTTCACCAAACAATGCTTTTTCCAATTGTTGTTGAAATGATCAGCCTATAAAAATATCGAACTATCGCAGACCGATAGACCCGATAGTATTTGATTAACGTCTCAAATTATCGAAAGCTTTGCTTACATTTTTGTAAACCTTATTATAGATATATTATACTATAATTTGCATACTTAGAAAACGTGATATTTGACTAATTTAGGAAAAAGGCAGCAAAAAAATTCGCTAGCAAAATCGTTGCCACATCGTCCGTTCTAGAGCGACGTTGCCAGAAGCAGTTTTCGATGCCTGTAATCGATACTTTTTGTTGTAGTTGTACATTTTTCGCCAAAATAATAATAAAAGTGAAAAATTTTTTTTGTTAATATACGTTTATTTGTTGTACAAAGGAGAAAATGTTATTAAACTGATTGGCCGTCCCAGCATTTTCGTGACCCCCGCTCCAAAAACAACAAAATAGAACGGCCGCCAGCAACAACAAGGTGCAGTAAATATTCAGTGCGCTGGTAAGAAAGATGGAAACAAAACGAGAGACCGAAAAAGCAATCAAAATAGAATTCCGAATTTAGAATATGACAGACTGAAAAAAATTTTCAATTCGAACGCATTGCCGCTGCTGCTGCCTGCCTCCCTCTTCTTCTTCTTATTCTCCTCCTCCTCTTCATTCTTCCTCTTCTTCGCCAGCCAGCCGCTGTGGGGGGACATTGGGGGTCAAATGCAGAAGATCGGGGCTGAAGATTTCGTGAAATTGTGATTTCTGAATTCGTTCCTGTTAATTTGCGACTGCCCGACTCAAAGAACACACACCAACACACCCATACATCCGCCTTGCATACATATGTACATCCGCTTTTGGCCGCCTGTAATTATGATTTTTATTACTCCTGCAGCGCCTTCTATCGCCTTCTTTAACCGCCAATTGCACCTGCTCCTGCCCACTAACCAAGACAAAAAGAAGCGATTACTCCAAGCGCCAGCGGAAGTGAAATGATAAAGTCCACCACGAATCCACAGGAACAGCGTCTGCCACGCCCCGAGGATCAGTCGCCAGCGCCGCCGCCGCCCCCCTCCTCAGCCACCTCCACCACCGCCCCTGCCACCCCCACGCACCAAGTGGCCACCGTGATAGCCAACATGGACACCCTGAAGACCGCCTTTCTGCCCAATCTCAGCATGGATCCCAATGTGCACGTGTCGCCGCACTATTGTCCCATGTGCCACCAGCAGTTCGAGCGGCCGCAGCATGTCGCGGATCACATGCAGCTGTGCCACGGGATAACGCTGAACGCCCAGGGAGCCATCGCCACGCTGGACGGTGGCCATCCGCAGGCACAGCAGCACCCCAAGCTCAGCCACCCCTGCTTCAATTGTGATGAAAAGTTTGGCAACGCCGTCGACCTGGACGAACACCATCGGCTGGCTCATCAGACGTCCGCCTTCCTGGCCCGCTGCCTCATTTGCAGCATCTATGGCATCCACTCGGCCACTCAGCAGCCCAACGAGTACAAATGCACGCAGTGCGGCTCCATTTGCACCACCGCCATGCTGGCCGCCGGACAGCAGGGCTTTATGGAACAGCAGGAGGCGGCGGTGACGCCCGACGACCAGCTGCCGTCGATGGCGCCCCGTGATATGAGACTGACGCCCCGAGGAGCAGCACCACCAGCAGCAACTGCAGGCGGAGCACCACCATCAGCAACAGCACCAACAACAGCAGCAGCAGCAGGAACTGCTGGAGCAGCAGCAGCGTGAAATGCAGGAGCAGGCGCAACAGCAGCAGGTGCATCATCACCAGCAGGATCAGGATCTCGCCGGCGACCAGGTGGCGCTGAAGGTGCCACCGCTCACCGTCAAGCTAAACAAGAATGCCAACGGTGGCGCCATTGTGGCCCACCCGCAGGTCATTATCAAGGAGGAGCCACTCAGCCTGAGCGATAGTGGTGATGTGGTCAACTCTGTGCCCGTCTATGCCATACAAGCCAATCCCGGTGTACCCGCTCCGGCCAGTTCGGGTGTGCTAGTCGGCACGCAAACGGTGGCCGCCGATCTGGCGCACAAGATCCGGCACAAATGCCCGGATTGTCCAAAGACCTTCAAGACGCCCGGCACTCTGGCAATGCACCGCAAGATACACACAGGCGAAGCAGAGTAAATCCATTTTATATGCATCTTACTGACTGTGTATTCCGGCAATGATAGCTTTTGACAGCCACCATAAACGCTATAGTCGTGTAACTGGCATTTGATGATTTTATAGATATTTTAATGATAGTAGCGTCAATTTACTTAAAGCAATACTTGCATAACTAACGTTAGAAGTGATGTGATATTGTCGTGTAAAGAATCTATAAAATATTGGTAGATATAGTTATAGACCTCAGCTTAATCTCAACAAGATTAAGTCTCTTTGCATCTAGGGAAACATTCAGTTACATTGTTTTAAGATAAGAGTGGTTCCTAGATCATTGCCGGAGTACCCGTTATTCATTCCAAGGCCTTGCCCGCTCCAGCTCAAAGGGAACCACGTTCTGTTTGTGGGGCTCCCTTTGCGTTTGGGGCTGCGTGATCGCCGAGCTAACCCCAATAATCTTACCACTTGTATATATATTATTTTTGATTTCCTTCGGGCCAGCTGGACGCATGGGCGCGCCCTCGAAGCTCTGGGACGAGGCCCATGCGTTCGTGTGTCGTTTGTTTTGCAACTTATTTTTAAATCGAGTGTTACTAATAATATAATTTAAATTTCTTTCTTTTCTCCCGCGCCCACACTCTCTCTCCTCTCTGTATCTTTCTCTTCTCCGTTTCTGCGCGGTATTTTGTGAATATGAATATGAATAATTCTTAACTCTCGAATCTCCACTCTCTCCGAACCGCAACTCCGACAGCGCCACGCCCAAAGAACGCCCCTACACGTGCTCCTACTGCGGCAAGTCCTTCACTCAATCGAATACACTAAAACAGCACACTCGCATACATACAGGTGAGAAACCATTTAGATGTGGCTATTGTGGCAGGGCGTTCACTGTTAAGGATTACCTGAACAAACATTTAACGACTCACACGGGTGAGAAGCAATATTTTTCAAATCAATTCAGTCAGTCAATCAGCTCTCAATCAACTCAACCAATCAATCGACTTTTCAACCAATCAATCGATCAGTAAATTATCACCTCAGCGTGATGAGAAAAAAGCAATACTCAAAAAAGAGAACCTCTGTATGCAAGTCCATTCCCATTTGCCATACACAAACTCGCTCAATCTCTATCAATCAATCTCAATCAATCAGTACCAATATCAATCTCTCACCACTGCCAGTGTCCCTGCCGAAGCTCAATCACCAGACTCGAGCCGCCGCAGCGCCTGCGCAGAAAAACACGTCGAATAAGGCGGCAAAAATTGCCAAACCCAATGGTCAAGATCAGGATGTCGCTTGCTAAAGTGTATTCTATTGAAATTACATTCTAAATAATCGGAAACCCAGAATATAGTAATTATAAACGACAACCGTTGTGAGAAGTTGAGATGATCAATGTGAAATCAGTGTGCAATTTAATTAATAATATAACGTTCCGATTACATGTGCTTCTATAATAAGATTTTCATCTTGATTGCTTCGAAAAAGTTTAATTTAGATTATAATCAATCGTCTAGTTAGAGATTCTAGTTAAGCAACTATGCGATTTCCAGCAAGTGACAATCGGGGCCTTGAATTTTTGCCATCTTTGATTAGCGACAAATAACGAATAGTATGAGTCACAGTTTACATACCCTCACAGAACGAGAAAATCAAAATCACAACTATTTATGAGCAAGCTTTCTGTGAGGGTAGCAAAGCAAAATGATAATCCAAATCCGTATCGCCCGCCGCCTCATCTCATTACGTAATAATATGTCTCTAATGCATTTTAACAACACCAACCAAATATATATACACATTTAATATATAATCTATCTCTAGTTTGATTACGTGCAAACCCTATTTGATATGCATACATATCTACTGTACCCACACATCCACCACTCACTCAGTCAATCAATCAAAACAATCAAACCTTTGGTACTGCACGCACCAAGCAAACTGGCCAAGTGCTAGCGACATGTGCTAACCGAGTTCCCAACTTTCTCCGTTTCGCCAATCGTGGCTGTTTTGCAGGAGAGAAGCCGTTTCACTGCGGGTACTGCGAGAAGTCCTTCAGCGTGAAGGACTATCTGACCAAGCACATACGGACGCACACCGGCGAGAAGCCGTACACCTGTCCGTACTGTGACAAGCGTTTCACGCAGCGCAGCGCCCTTACTGTGCACACGACCAAGCTGCATCCGCTCTAGGGAAGGCCGGGCGGTGGCCGCCAGATACCCGTTCCTGCCCCAGCCGCTCCTCCTCCTCCTCCTGGTGCGCCGCCGCCGTTGTCCGCCGACACGGATACAGATCCCAAGAAGCCATCTGCAGCGGCTGCGGCATCGGCTTAGGACGCTAAGAGCTGCAGCGGAAACGGGATGAGCAACCCAAAATGAAAGACCATTTCAAAGACGAGACACACTCACGTACATGGGTGTTAACTGCAGCGGATGCAACGCAACCAACGACTGGCAAATCTCTTCGCAGTGCTGCTAGATTAAATTACTAAATTAGATACTTTCATTTCGGTTAACAGAGAAGCAGAAACACAGTTGTACTAAATTAGCATACAGTTCGTAGAATGTTTAAGTTATTGCAATCGATTTTTGATTCTTATTATTATTTGGTTATGTAGATGTTTTGCAATTTTATTTTTATACACCTATGTATATCGTATATAATATTTTGTTATTCATTGAGATTTTATATGGTGACTCCTTAGCGCACACTCACTTACGCGCGGCGCTATACCTACACACCGAAAAAGCTACACCACTACACACGCGCACACATATATTATTTATAAAGAGAGAGAACATATTTTTACTCATACTTTGTGGCAATATTATTTTTACTACTTCCTGAAATTGTTTGTAAATGTTACTGAAAGCAGCAAAACAAAGAAAGGTAAACTCATGTCTACGCGCAAAACTTAAATTATTTTTATAAATTATACATCTATTTTATTCGAAATCAAAACAACACAAAATTATTTATTCTACATAAAAAATGTTTTCAAAATTTCGACTCGTAGTGGAAATGGCGAAGGACCATTGTAGTCATTTCCCAATTATTTGCACACGAGCAGGATCTCGTTTGTTTTGGCTTTAAAAATTTAATTACTTTTAATTAACTAAATGATCTAATCATTTTAGCTTGTTTTTATTGATGAATGTTAACCATTGTTTATTTTTTAAAATAATTAAGTTGAAAAGCGCTGCTTTTGTTTGTTAAACTAATCTAAACAGTGAGATTGTATAAAACTAAAAAAGAAAAACGAAAAACATAACTAAGAAATTAATTTTACAAAATTTGCATTTTTTAACGCAAGACAAAAAGTATTTAAGGCAAATCGAAATGAGAAATCTACGCTAACGCAACACAGCTTTATGCGCCAAACTAGAAGATTAAACAAATTTAACATAACGATCTACATAATTGATACTTTTGATAAAAAGAAAGCTTAAAGTTGTTTTTGTAATGTATATAAATGTGGATTCATCATTTTTAAAACTACTTAAACGCGTTTTTTAAACCAGCAAATGATTACTTGCAAGAGTTGTACGTACTAAACCAACTAAAACTGTAGCAAAACCAAAAACCATGTACATTTTTATAACATAGTGTTATATAATTATAAAGTATGCAAATATATAAACCTGTATCTAATATTAATGCATAATACACTCAAACAAATTGTCTACCTAATGGCACATAGCACAGCAACAAACGATGCGCAGCGCATGTAAAACCAAAATAAATTCTAAGTACTAAACTATTGTAATTCTTTAAGTTTTAAATAAACCGAGATGAGTTGACGATCAAAAGCAAACAGCTAATCCAGAAAAAAGCGCCTAACTAACCGCAACACTGACAAAAAAAACAATTAACTCTGCTGTAAGTGATTACCAATGAATGAATCATGTTGAATGCGATACGTACTAAATAGCGACTAACTATTAGTATTAGATCTTAGCCACGAATCCAAAAACGAAGCCAGACAACAGACACACAGAAACACGAACATAAGCAAGTGAGTAATTAGAAGTTAAATTGTAAAATTTATTATTATTAAATATATAAATAGATATTACGAATATAAATGTATGTACTTGCAATCTAAATTTACGTGACAAAATCTAGCAAATATTCGAGCAATATTTCAATTAAAATATATGAAAAGGAATTATATATACAAAATAAAGTCCAACCATGTAGAAAGATTATACATACAAACCGCACAAGGTCGTTTGGAATATAATATATATATATTATATTTAGGTGGATGAGTACCCCCTTTTTAGGTCTGTCGTAAAAATACAGGAAATGTTTGATGATTAGTTCAGTTTATTTAGGGTTTGTTTTCCATTTTAATTACAATGAACGAATATTATGAACACTATCACACTTTCAAAATGTATTCGGTTTCTTTTCCAATCGTTTTTGTAGTTTCCTTTGCGCTGAGCCACTAATTTAGTTTTTCTCTCGTTTTTGTTTTATTGTAATGCTGATTACACTCATATATATGTATATATATTTATATATAATATAAGTTAGTTATATGTTTATGTATATGCCATAAATATTTTTTTTATACACACACTTTTGATCAAACGCAACCAAAAGTTGGTTTTTTACTTTTTTTTATATAATTAATTATCATTTGGGTTTTGCCTTCATTTTGTTTTAAATGCTCAATTTGTTGCATGCATGCGTAAGTTTACCTAATTTAACCATTTGCCATGTTTTACTTTCTATATATTTTTTGTAGTGTATATAGATATACTTTTCATAACCCTTATAAATGCCCATGTAACTGTACTATATGTTTTCTATGGACTTGTTTTCCCCCTTCTTTTTTTTATAACGAGCTCATCCAAAATTTATTGCGTACATTTGAAATGTTTTCACTTTGTGTTTTTCATTACTCTAACACGATCTTTATTTCGAGGATATCGAATTTAAGATGCTCTGGATTGGGATCTACAAATTTCGGAGGAAATCAGCTAGTAGTGAATAATACTTGCGACACAGTTTGTTGTTGGGCTAGGTTAAAAAAAAATGCAATGTAGCCTCTATTAAGCATTTTCCTATGATTTTCACTCTCGTTCGGGAACTATGTGTTTTGAAAATGTAACAATTTGCTCTTCCGTCCTCGTACATTGTGTATTTACAGAAAGTCTAGCCCGTTCGGATATTGGATGGGAATGAGTGGAAATTACAAGTACATAATATATAATATATAATACAAATACACTTTAGTTGGTAAGATTAGCAAGACGTAAGACGTACGATAGTTATGGGGGAATTGCTAGTTTTAATGCCTATAAGCTCAAATTTACAACTGATTATTCGCTGATCGAAAGTGATCTCAAGATCTCTAGCAATTTGCAGAGCATTAAGTGGATAGTGTTGGGTTGACTTGAAAGCAAATGGTTGGAGGAACCGAGTGTTAGTAACTGTCGAGGAACTTAGAGGTAAACAAAACGCGTGTTTTAGGATGGGTGTCATTTTTCTTAGTGTATGTGGCCTTGTTTTTACAGTTTATCGTTACCTACACAGGTGGGCTCTGTTTTAACCGCTCTACCGTTTGAACAACTTTGATCTATCAGTGATCCTATCATCGAAATCAATCGAACTCAAGACTGAGAGAAATCAACGGAAATTAAAGTAAAATCGTCTAAAAATTTATCAAAACTTTATAAAACTTGACTGCATTCAAGGTTCTTACTTTACGTTTCATTGAAAAATAAAGTAATGTTTGTTATTGTTTGTGTTTTGTGTGGTTTTGCATCTCCTCTATCATTTTCCTGTCGGTTTTTCTTTCTTCGCGAAATTAAAGTAATTCTTTTATTGTTTGTGTTGTTTGCGCTATATAATAACTATTTCTCCACATATATCTACACATACCAACATGTATCGTATCGTTAATACTTATATACAATTCTCAAAAATCCGCAATGATCCTGCGATTCGGTCTCCTTAGCAAAGACTCCTTACTTGAGTGCGAGACAACGGAGTGGGAGACCATCGAGTGGGAGAGCATTGAGTGGGACACGCCGGATATTTCCGCATAGGTATCCGTGGGTCCTTCGGCACTGCAAACCGAATCCTCGGGCGTCCTGGATGGTTCCGCCTCGGTGATCTCGATGTCCTGATGATGCTTGTTGCTGCGGTGTTTGGCACTTAGAGCCTAGAGAATTGGAGATATCTTAGTGGGGCACTTTGGCAACTGGGGATATGTAGTTTCTCATAGTTTCGTGTGCAATCTGTTTTCGATAAGACTTATGAAGTGCTATCTATGGGACGGACACATGCACACACGCAGACACACAAGCTGGTGGTTTCGGGTTTTATTGGGGGACTTGGGTCTAAGTTTATAGAGAAGTTAAGACAAACGTGCGAGAAGTTTTTTGAATTAGTCTTTTTGTTTGGATTTAGTTACATTCACAACACAGATATTTTAGCGGGTTAGGTTTTAGGTTTATGCTAGAAGCGACCGACAATTCTTACCTTATCCTTGCTGCCCTTTTCTCTACATTGAACATTGGGTGGTTATTGTTTTGTTTGGTTTGGTTGTGGTGGGAATCGAATGTATTGTACATAGTCATGACAAGAACAATGATATTTATAGATGTATTAATAATAAGTGGCAAACAGTACTGAGAGTTCACATTGGAGGATCAATTAGAAGTAAGATTCAAAGGCGGATAGAGAGACTGAGGAGAGAAAGATCTAGGGAGCTTGGGATAGGCAGCATAAGGTTTGGTTTCGGTTTGAAGAGTAACAACAGCAATATCGATCTGAGTCCTACAGCCCGGTCCCCCATTTTGGCCACGTCAATGTCATGTACAGTGGAGCACTATGGCTGGTGGACTACGCTGGCGTTTGTGGTGACCCCGACTCACCTGCAGGGAGAAGCGACGGTGACCCGCCTTGCGTCCACCACGTCGTTTGCTGATGTGCGGATTGTCCTGCCTCAGAGTCTTGTTCTTCATAATCTCCAGTTGGGTGTACAGTCTGGAATCGAAGGTACATATTTAAGGAATGAATACGCCTGCAGGACTGCAGAGATTTGGTTAGAAAATATAGGTTTCCCGTACCTTTTGAGTTCGGCGCGTATGTCCTCGGGGGCTCATTTCGGATATGGTCAGCTCCCCGATGTCCGGATCGCCCAGACAGAGTCCGGCATATCCTCCGCCCAGCCGCTGGCCGGCGGTCGTGTGACGTACCCTTGAAAGCATCCACAGGTAAACGTATTGATAGATCATACGCTAGCGAACGAACCTGCAAGCTATGAAGATGCAACAAACACCGCAAACCACACTCAGGAAGTCAAACGGAAAATGGAGAACGGAACGGAAACGGAAATGGAATCGGAACTCAAAGGTAAGAGAGAGCAAAAACCAAATAGAATAGATCTGTGCTGGAGAGTATATGTGATATGTATGTATTTAGTATGTTTGGTGGGTGGTCGGTGCTTATTGGTTGTGAATGTTTGTGACTCTTTGAGGGTGCTGGAAAATGAATCAAAAGAAACAAATCAAATTAAAAAAGAAACTCAAACGGTAAACAAGATGAACGATAGCTATTAGAAGACTACTTAGATAGAGAACTTCAGTTTAAGATTGTTCAGTTGAGGCACAAAAAGACAGAGAAAGTTACAGTGAGGAAGAGTCTTGGATACACTAGTTTGGAATTTTTCTGGTATGCATATTGGAAATTTTGAAAGGAAAACCGATTTTTGTCATTTTTGTTTGTAATTATATGTTGTGTTATTTGG